ACATTGATGTGCGGACCAGTGGCCTGATGACTGGCTTAGAGGGAACATTTGCAGAGACCTTAGCTTCCCGGAATTCTTCCCCATTTTAGTGTCACTGTGGGTTTGGGGTGATAAGATGGTCAACACCACAGTGCTTTACTTGGCAATAGTTCGGGTCATCAGGTTCCTCACATCCAAATCTGCTAGGGTAATGGGTTTAGTGCAGTCTTTCACTCTGTGTTGTCTCCAGCTGAATTTTTTCCCTCGCCAAGCATGTCCCTGGGGTTAGTAATGGGGTGGCTGATGCTCCGTCCCATAAACAGATGGAGAGGTTTCATCAGCTGGCCCCAGAGGCCCTGGAGTTTTGGCAGCTTAGTAAGCCAAAGCACACAAGGTGATCGACTTAGCAATAGCCCCCAGTACTCAGAAAGTTTATGGCCGTGCAGTCCAACAATTTGAGACTTTTAGGGTGGAGGCAGGGCCACAGAATTCTTGGCCAATCCCAGTGGACCATCTGATGCAGTATTGTGTGATGTTGAAAAGTAAGGTCTTGGCGATGAAGTCCATTAGGGGTAAATTAGCCACTTTGGCTTTTAATAGCAAAGCCCAGGGCTTGCCAGAATCTATAGGGGATTTTCACCTTCGCAAGATGCTTGAGGGCTGGTCCTGAGAGTCGAGGGCATGCAGGGATGACCGGCAGCCCATCTCACCTGTGGTGTTGAAGGGCCCATATAGGCTGTGGAGTGACGTTTGCCACTCTGAATTTGGAAGTGCCCTATTCCATGCAGCAGCTTTGATGGCCTTCTTTGGTGCCTTACAGGTTAGCGAGCTGGTGAGAGAGTCACACTCAGATTGTTTTGATCAAGCTCTTCAATACAGGGACATCCGTTTCATGCATGACCAAGTGATCAACCAAGTTCATCGGTCTAAGACAGACCAGCAGCACAAGGGGACTGAGATTACATTAGGCCCTTGCCTTAAAAATGACCTCTATTCTGTACTAGCTCTCCATCAATAAACTGGTCACTGTGGAGAGGCAGGCAGCTCCTTATTTCTGCATGCTGACTGTACGCCCTTGAAGAAATACTAGTTTTGGGCAATGACTTCAAGGGCTTTGGCCAAGTTGGGGTTAACGGGAGCGTGTTTTGGGATGTACTCCTTCTGGATTGGGACTGCCTCTACTGCTGCTACCATGGGCTACCCTGGCCCAGCCATACAGAAGGTGGGGAGGTGGTGTTCATACGTTCAACCTTTGGTATCCATGTTAGGGTTGGCTATGTTCACTGTTTTGTTCTTTGTTGTTGTTTCTTGGTTTTAGGTTCCCTTAGGCACTGTTGGAGGCTGATGATTGTGATTGCAAACCACAGTATGGTCTTCTGGGTAGCCCACCAGGCAGGATACACAGCAATAGGGTCTCAACTTGGCCTCAGTGACTGGGCCACAATAGAGCAGCAGGGCCGTCATGGTCTCTGATGTTCAGGGCTGATGCCCCCATTGTTTGCGGGGAGGAGCAGTCCTCCTCTGGATATCCTGGTCATTCATCTGGGTGGGAATGACGTTGGTATGATTAAGGGCAAGGTCCTGATACTTCAAGCCAAGGCTGACATGCAGGTTATTCAGGCACGTTTGGCCTGGGGTCTGCTTGGCCTGGTCCGCCATCCTTCCACGGAGGTCTTGGAAAGGGCATTGATAAGGCCCATCGTAAGGCCAATAAGGGAGCTTAAGAAAGCCATGGATGTGGGGTTCAGGTTTTATATCCCACATTCTGGAATTACATAAGAACATAAGAGAAGCCAATGTTGGATCAGGCCAATGGCCCATCCAGCCCAAAACTCTGTCACACAGTGGCCAAAAATATCAGGTGCCATCAGGAGGTCCAGCAGTGGGGCCAGGACACTAGAAACCCTCTCACTGTTGCCCCCCCCCCAAGCACCAAGAATACAGAGCATCACTTGCCCCAGACCAAGAGTTCCTATCTATACCTTGTGGCTAATAGCCACTGATGGACTACTGCTATGTTTATCCAATTATCCCTTGAAGACATCCATGCTTGTAGCCGCCACTAACTCCTGTGGCAGTGAATTCCATGTGTTAATCACTTTTGGGTGAAGAAGTACTTCCTTTTATCTGTTCTTACCTGACTGCTCAGCAATTTTATTGAGTGCCCACAAGTTCTTGTATTGGGAGAAAGGGAGAAAAGTACTTCTTGCTCTATCCCATGCATAATCTTGTAAATCTCTATCATGTCACCCCTCAGCTGTTGTTTCTCCAAGCTAAAGAGCCCCAAGCGCTTCAACCTTTCTTCATAGGGAAAGTGTTCCAACCCTTTTAACATTCTAGTTGCCCTTTTCTGCACAACGGTTGAGTTGGTATATTTATACAGAGATGATGGAGTCCATCTGTCAGAACTTGGCAATGAGATCTTTCTGGATGACCTGCAGCAAGGACTCAGGGGTGCCATTAGTCATTGCTTGGGGACAAGGGCCCAGAGCAGAGGCTTGACCCTTGTTCGTGGCAGGAATCAGGCAGGATTTGGTTGTTAATTAGTGAGCACCAGCAGGCAGACCCCCCCCCCCATTGCTCGGAGGGTGGGATGTCTGGAAGGACCTGACCGTGAGCAAGAGCTCTAGGCGGAGAATGCGGATGGCCTGCGAGACCCCCTGAACAGGTCTTCCCCTAAAACTTTGCTGCTTGAAGGGCTGGACCTTCAGGGGGCAACTTGACCTGCACCAGGTGCAGGGTGACTCACCCACTATAAGCCAAGGGCTCATGGGAGAACCCCTTGTCTTGACTTTCACATAGTTGGCCATTGCCGCTTTATGGTTCATTCAGTTGCATTTAAATTTAAATAAAGCTGCCCATTCGTTACTCCTACCGACTGTGGGGGCCAACAAAGATGCACTTTTATTTAAACCAGTGGTTGAAATTACCCTTTTTTCTTGATGATTTCAATAAACCCATTCTTAACACACATATACATTTGTCTTCAGACTTAGCAAGGGCATGAAATTCACTCATAGTGATGCATCCACCAACAAATCTACACTTGGTATTATAACAGATTAGTGCAATGCATACAGTACAGTGGATGGCCCATGCAACTACAGAGTTTGAAAACTGATAACATCCGTTTCAATTACAGAAGCATCAACCATACCACCAATACAGTACATGAAATGGGATCCAACGGTCTAAGAGTAAGAAGCAGATCCTTGATTCTGTCTTCTGTAGCTCCATTTAAAGGATCTTGAAGTCTAGGGAAAGTCTGTGCCTGAAACTTGGTGAATTGGTTACTAAACCGGAAGCTCTGAAAGCACCTTAACCTACACCTCTATCTAAGATTAGAGTTTACTGCAGGCCGGATTTGTGACTCAATGGAAATAGTAGTAGTGACTTCACATGTGAAAGGTTCCTTATGCAATAACAAAGTACTTTTTTGTTAAAATAATATGAACAAAATAGTAACTGTATTTAAGAGGCATTTTTCTTTCCATGATATTAAAGAGACTGGGGTCCTTAATTCTATTTAGTATATCTTTATCAGTTTGTATCTACAATTCATTTCAAAGAGTTCAGTGACCTCAGGACACAGTACTACAACATGAGTATATAGGAGATGTCTTGTACAACATTGGTTCATAACAATTCACCAAGTTTCATGCACAGACTTTCCCTAGACTTCAAGATCCTTTAAATGGAGCTACAGAAGACAGAATCAAGGATCTGCTTCTTACTCTTAGACCGTTGGATCCCATTTCATGTACTGTATTGGTGGTATGGTTGATGCTAGGATCTGCTATACAAAAAACACTACTGTCATTAAAATTTAATTCAGATGCAAGATACAACATAAATAACACTATAAATTAAACTTAGTAAACTGTGTATCATAGGTGTTCAAATAAAAATCAGCACATGCAATAGCATTTTAAGGTTTTAAAAGTTTTAAAAGTAAAAAGTACATAAGTTCGAAGCTCTAAAGAGCTGACCAACTTATTTACAAGTTACTGTAATCAGTTTGGACTGCCCCCAGCTATCTATGTAAGTATAGTATTAGTTGAGATAGAAGAGCATACAGAAATACGGTAATGTACAAAAGGAACAACACAGCAAACACAGAACCGTTATTAATAATCATTAACTGCTTTCCTGTTCTAAGTCATTAAACTAAAATAAAATGTGTTCAGTAAGTTCCAAACAAAGAATTCTGAGTAGACATTTATGGGGGGAAATGCTCTCACACATTCCCATTTGATTATAACTTGGGTTTACAGATAACATTTGACCAGCACTCCCAACCTATTTCACATGCTTCCAGTATTAATCCAGACCACAAACAGCACTTGTCTACTCCTGTACTTTGACACAATAGGAACCTTGGTAAAGGAGACCAAATCTACCCCCTTCCTTACAAAGGCTATATTGTACACTCCACTGAATACAGCGAGATCAATAAGCCTCTTTTAGCCTTGGTAACTAACATCTTGCCCATTGGAAGAATTAAAATTCCACCCTCTCTCGAACTCTTAAGCAGCATGCTACACAAGAGGAAGAATCTACAGGGCCTGACATTTATCCACACCAGAAACACACTCTAACCCACTTCTCCCCTCGCTTTATAAACTTTCTCCCATTCTGTTCAGCCCAGCCAACCTACCACGCCAGACCACACATACCTAGTCAGCTACCCAAGAAACAAGAACGCGCCACATTTTCTTCAACCCCATATGTTCGCTCCAGCCCACAACATATGACCCACACCTCTCCACTCCCTACCTTCCGCGGGGAGGGACTTCCCCTCACCGCGCTTCCTCCCCAGGTTACCTCCACCTCCCGTTACCTTTCACTCTCTCAGACACACCCACACCCACTATCTGTACCCGTAGTCTTTATCAGCTCCCGCTCGCCTGCTCCTTAGCTCCTGCCCCCCCCCCGCCTCCCCCAACTCGGAAGCGCTCGGTTATTTCCTCCGCCAAGTCAACCCCTCCTCCTCCTCCTCCGCTTTGCTCTCCTCAACTCACAGGATGCCGGAGCAGGAGGTACACACGAAGCTGCCCACCGTCATGTCGGTGTAGGTGGGGCCGCGCTGGTCACAGTCGAAGCACTTGCGGTTGGGCGGGAGGCTGCTCATCTCCCTCAGCAGCTTCAGGTGCTTCTCCTCCTGCTTCCGCTTGGCGCTCGCCGCCATGGCCCCCGCCGCTGGGGAGCCGGGCCCCGGCCCGCTCTCGCCGACTGGGCAGGAGGGAGGCGCGGAGGAGCCTCAGGCGAAGAGGAAGCGCCGGGACCGTCCCGCTCGGGGCGCGAGGGAGGGCGAGGCCTGGGCCCGCGCCCTTGCGCGTGCGCGCGCCCCCACAGAAAGACCAACGGCCGAACGGAAGGGAGGGAAGAGGAGCGGCTGCGGCGGCGCGCGTGTGAGGGACGGAGCCCGGCCCGGGGCGGCTGAATGACGAGCTCAGGCGGAACCTGCGCGACACTTTTCCCCACCGTGGACAAAGAGGCGAGCGTAGCGGACTCGGCGGAAGACCCGGGTCTCGTTCCGAGAGGTTCCAGCAGCGCCTCCTTTCGCTTGGGAGGATTCCCAGCGCCGCAACGGGTCTCTTCCTTCCCCCTCTCACTTCTCCCCGGAGACCGTTACCTGATGTGACCCGGCAGGAAGGCAAGGATGAAGAGCGGCGGCGGCGGCGAGGGGGAGAAAATGCTGGCAGAACGGCCAAAGGGGGGGGGGGGGGGGGGGGAGAAAGGTGGGGGAAGGG